GAGAGAGAGAGAGAGAGAGAGAGAGAGAGAGAGAGAGAGAGAGAGAGAGAGAGAGAGTGAGGAGCAGACGAGTGTGGGATCGTGACCTGTCTTTTCTTTTCCTTGTATAAAATTTTGGTCTTAGGCGAAAGCCATCTTTCTTATCTCCGATTTTGTACGATGGTGCCTCTTGGTGTGTGACTCTATTCTCCCTTCTCCTTCCTTGTTGACGGGTGTGAGTTGAATGCCTCGGTTTGTTGGATGTGTGTCAATCTTTGAGAGTTTGTCTGACAAATGGGGATGCGCGACGTCTTGCATGAATGAGTGAGGACGGGCTTTAAGCGCGATTCCCTTCCCACCCCGATTTCCCCACTTGCACGCACGACACATCATCGCCGAGCCAGGAATCGCCATCATCGAGACCAATTATCCTCCCCACCGCCTCGTAATCCCCTTTCACTGTCTAACAGCGGTTCCCTGGTGCACGATTGGCCCCTACTGGCCGCGGACCCTGTGCTCGGAGTGCCAGCAAGACCGTATTTATCACACAGCGGGATTCATCCGCCGGAACCGAACTGAGGCGGACCAGCGATCGCACAGTCTCCGACTGAGACCAGCCTCGTCAGATTCCGAAGTCTGCTACGAGCGACGTCGATGGCTAACCAGCCATAGCGTCCCGAAGGTCCATCAGATCCGAGACCGACCACGACGCCGATACTCACACCAGCGGTAGCCTTGTGTCCCGCTGGTGTCCCGAAGCCCAAGCTACCGATGCAACTCGGGATTACCATCTTGCTCAATTACCCTTGAACTGGCCACAGGAGATCTCCTCGGGCCTCACAGCCGACACCCTGCTGACACAGAAGCCCTGGCCAGGCAATGTGGATAGCAGGTTCTATTGAAGTTCGACTGAGGGGGAAAGGTAGACAAAGGTACCATGGTATGAGCAGTGTAGGTGAAGACAAGTAGCCGAGTTCATCACCGACAAGCAGATAAGACCAGTGACGCATAAGACAGATTCGGATGTACTGGCGTAGCCTTTTCGTACTGATTTGCTGTCTATCGCACTGCACCTCATTGCATCGCATTCCATCTCATTGTAGACCGTTAGGCTTCAAGGATTATGCCGTCAGATTCTCGGAAAACGCCAGCACCTCTGCAAAGTTCTTCTTTTTTCTAGAGTGGTGTGGCGAGTCCCTGATTTGAGGTGGCTTAGGCCTAGATGAAAAATGCTCCACTACTACTCACGACATGCACACAAGACAAAAAACATGGCGGGGATCTAAGATTTCCCATTTTCTAGCGGAAGATTCATGCTTTTTTTTTTTTTTTTTTTTTTTTTTTTTAAGAAAGCCCAAGGTGTTGTAGAGACCAAGGACCAGACCCGCGGTGATTGCTTTTGCGCAGTTGGTTAGCTGAGGAGCTAGGCCCTTTTTTCCTCTTTCTTCCAGAAGGCAGTTTCCAGGAAACATACCCCCCCCCGGTGAGGTCGCAGTATACCCCTCCAGGGGCGAGGTCCCAGTGGCAAAGAGGATTGGATTGAATGCCTGAATCTGGACATGTTTGTGGAGAGGTGCTGGAAATCGAGATTGAACTGCTTTTCTGCATCTCTGCATAAAACACATGCAGATTCAGGAGCTTAATCAGATCCCTGCGACCTGCGCCCACGTGAAGGTGCAACTTACCCTTGCAAGCCAGAATCAAGAAAAGGGGATGGTCGATGACTCTGCAGGACAGGCAGGAAGGGCAATGTATGATACAACTACACTACATTCCTCCCTCAAATTCTTTTTGGCTTTCACTACCTTCCTACCACTACTTCTAAGACTATATATACAGGGGACCCCTGCAAGCATAGGGCCTGGCAAACGAGGTAAATCATGTTGGAGACCTTTTTTTTCCTTTTTTGCCCCAAAATTCAAATTTGAGACTAGATTTGCTGCCCCCCACTGCCAGCAGGAAAAGAGCTGAAATAAACAAAACATTAAAAAAAAAAAAAAAAAAAAAAAAGGAAAAGAAAAGAGCTGAACACCAACTTCAAGGAGTTTCCTCTAAAAGTCCAGAGGGCATGGTCCCATTAGCAAAAAGGATTGGATTTAACTTCTGAATCTGTATGTGTTTTCAGCAGACATGGAGAAAAGCAGATCAATTGCAATTTTCTGCATCTCTCCACAAACACGTCCAGATACCGGAATGAAATCCAATCCTCTTCGCTAATGGGAGGGCTGCACTCGCCGATTTCGGAAAATCCCCTTTCTGTGTTAGGGCTTTATTCACCCATAAATCCATTGTCCTCACTTGCCCGCAATCGGGGCAGATTCGGGGTTCTTCAACTTGGGTGCAGGTCCGTTGATGCTGCTGTCCCACTTAGGCCGTCCTATCCGTTACTGCCCCTCAGATGACGGCTTTGGGGCTGGACAAGGGAAATCCATGGGCAGTGAAGCCTCACCGATTATTATGAATTCAGCGTCCTACTTATTTATTTATAAAAGGGAAACCTCTCCAGAGAACTCTGGTGGAGCATGAGCCTCACATTCACTCTTGGAGGTTGGGCCGGTTTCCTAGCAGCTGCAGCCTCTCTTTCTTTTTTCTTTTTTAAGTTTAAATTCAAAAAGGCGCGTTGTCCAGTTGATGTAGCTCAGTGGTTAGAGCACCGGTTGGAAATGCGCATCGTGGTATAAGGTTGTGGGTTCAAAACCCCGCAGCCTTGTGCATGGACAGCGGCAGGGGCGTTAGATTGACGCACCGCTGGACACACATCCCCTTGGGCTGACGCATGATACTATTACAGACACTGTCCATGGTGTTGTATGCTGGTTGTGGGTTTCACAGGGTTTGCTTGGGGTGTTGGTCTCGGGTGTTCTGATGTTCTCCCCAGTCTGGCATATCACACGTTCTTTCCATTTCCGGTAGTTGCTCATACCGTAGAGTCCTGGATTACATGTTACAAGGTTACGGGTTCGAGCTTGGTTCGTTCCTTGCGGGGGGTCCTTGTCCAGCTTGCCCCGTTCTCTCCTCGATACACACACATGATT